CTGCACTATAGTTGGGGTTAAGTAAGAATAAAGCTCAAAAACGGTTTTGTCAGGATGGTGGAGACATTTTGTTTTGGGTTCAAATGTCTTCTTGATTAAGGTTAGAAAACAACCAGGGGTGGTCGAATGAGAACAAGATGGACTGTCTGTACGAAACTGGAGTCCTTAACCTAGATAAATACGTTGCATTTTACCACTTCTAGTTCCTATGCCGAGAAGTAAACGTTTTTTGAACGTGTTTGTGTTTAGAAGCCTGAAATGATTTTGATCTAGGACATCACATCAGTAAATATCCCACTTGTGAATGTCCAAAGCTTCTTCATGTCATACAAGCAGCAATTGCTAACGAGTGACTTAATAAACTACAAACTTCATCACGCTGACACAAGTCCGCCGTTAGCTTAGCCGTAGTGATGCGCAGAAATGGGACTGTGATGTAGTTCGTTAAAAAAACACAAAGTAGTGCCACAAAGCTTATTATCAGCTAAATATATGATATACGAAGATGCTAACCTTCGGGTCAACCTACAAAAATACGCCACCCCTGCACCACTCTATACTTTCTTATTGCAAAAACACCATAACAATGAAAAATCTAGTTTAAAGATTGCCACCTTACAGAGCAAATACAAGTTTTCTAAATCATCATATCCAGGGTCTATGCAGGAATCCTGAAGTCAAAGGTAAGACCTTTTAGACCTTTTTTAAGACCCTTTCCTACATTTTAAGACCTCATCTCCACTTTGAGTTTTAACCGGTTACCTTGGCGACACACTTTACCTCACATTGACTATATACAGTATTGATTGTCCTTCCTCCTTATCTTCCAACCATTTGGACGCAAACTTGCATTTCCCCATAACGATGTTGTTTAACAACCGGCGTAAACGGACCTTCGCGCTATCAAGCAGTGAGCGTGCGATGTCCTGTTCAGATGACGTCAAACCCAACGGGATGCCATAAATAAACTACACAGAATCACACTACACACCTACGCAATGATTACATTCAGGCACACTGTAGAATACAACCTCTTTGGACAATTCATATACTTATTGAAAACAAGCTACAAAATGTAACACCTTGGAAAATGCCGTTTAATACTTTTTAATAACCTTCATTTTCTCTAAATTGATTCATCAACTTGTAATACTTTTTAAGACCCCACGGACACCCTGACATCGTCTTGGGTGTTTCAGCTTTCACATCCGCATGCATTAGCTTTAATTAACCTGTTTACCATCTCCCTACTTTCCAAACCCTGACCCCTGTATATTAAACAGGCTGAACTGAGCAGTGGAGGCAGTGCAGTGTGGAAACAGGCCTGAGTGTGGATGACAGGCCTAACAAGCTAAATATAGCCTTCTGGGTTATCTCCTCTGTGGGCGCAGCCAGTCCGTTGTTGCTTCACATTATTTACGTGTCTGTGCGTGCACCCGCTCTCTCTTCCCCTCTCTATCTCTCTTTCTTTCATTTCACGCCCCCCCACACAAACACATCACTATCTCTTTCTCTCGCTCTGTGTTGCATATAGTCTCCTTTCTCTCTCTCCATTTCATCCTTTCACAGCATCTTTTTTCACCCTCCGTCTCTCCTCTCTTCCCTCTTCTGTCCCTTGGTATCTTCTCTGTCTCATTTCGTCTCTCTTATTCCTTTTCAGCTTTTCCTTTCCCCTCTCTATCCCTCCATATCTCCTCTATCACTCCCTCCCTCCCCTATTTCATTCTCTTTATCTCTGCGTCCCTTTGTATCTTTCCCTCCCTCAGCTGCTCCCTGTTTTTCTTTCTGTCTGACACTCTCTGAGCCTTTTTTCCTCTCAAGCTATCTTTCCCTTTGAGCCTCTCTTTCCCTCCTCTATCTCTTTTTCTCTCCATTTTACTCTTCCTCTCATTTCTGAGCCATGCCGATGAAGCTGCATAGCACTGTGTAAGCCGTCCACTACACCACAGTGAGCCCCAGTTCAAATAATACAGCCTGGGGTGCTAACCGCCTGCTATGCTAACATACAGTATATGGATGTGGCATCTGCACCTGAAGCGACATGAACTTACACACAACATAACGCAGAAGACGCTCTCGTGCTTATCTCTTACTCTTTAGTGTACCAACAGTGCAGGGGACTCAAAGGCCATGACATTTAATATGCACAAAGTTTGATCAAATGTCTTCCATAGCCTCTGTCCAAGGAAAGATACACAGTTGCATGTGAAGAAGGTGGATGTGAGTCTGTTCTCATTGTTGCCCTGCTGCACTGTAGTCGTGTGAAACCACTGCTAAAATGAGTGTCTGACTTTAGGTACGTGCTAATTTTATTCTATTTTACATGTAAATAATGCACTTCTTACACATTGACCTGCTCACTGGTCAATTGCAACATTCTCTTGCACTATTTTCTTTCTGTTCTGTGTCTTTCTTGCACTATATGACTTGAGCTTTTCATTGCCATAACTACACTGCAGCTACTGTACTCTGCATATGACAACATCTGGGTGTTTTTGATATAGCTGTGGTTTTTTGGAAGGTTTTTCTTTGTGTGTGTTCTGCTCGGTGTCATTATGTGCACATGTTTCTTCCAGTACCAATTTGAGAAGCATAGTGAGGATTTTTTTTTAAAGATAGGTTGGTTTGACTAGTCATTCTGTTTTGAAAAGGACCAGTTGAAGGTGTGTGTAGTTTAAAATCCTAAAAAGAAACCTGGCTTTTTGAGATTTTGAATTCGACAAGTAGAGATGCACCCTCCAGTCTCATATTTGCATGATGGTTTCATGTTGAGCAGCACACACAGTGGCACAAAAACACGCACGACATGCAACAACACTGAGGCAGCTGCGGCACACAGTGCGCTTCAGACCTTCACACACACACTTGTCATCATGTTGTCGGTGTTGAAGTTCTTCAGCACGAGTGAAGAAGTCATAAAGCTCGCAATTTGTAACACCTGCAAGTCCAAAATAAACCGAGGAGGAAGTGTGGCTCGGTATGGTTGCAATGTGGGTGGAATGTTCAAATAAAAAAAGATGTTTGGCTTTCCTCTAACCACATTACAACGTTACCATACCAACTGGTTGAAAGTCGGATAAGTTTCCTTCTAAAAACATTTGAAACAGCTGTGTTGTTATTTAGTTTTGTTGCAACTGTTTTATTCCGGGAACATTTATTTTGAGATTAGTTTGAGTGAGAGGTCGCAGGTAAAACTTTATAAAAAAAGTTTTTGTATCATCTCTACTTTTAAGTGTACCTTTGTCCTTTTTATGAAACAGCGCCCACTTTGGTCACAAGTCCTGATTAAAATGGCCCTATTGTGCTAATCTTCAGGTCCATATTATGTTGTGCCTACTGTGACATGCTTACATGCTTTAATGTTCAAAGAAAGTGCACTCGTAAAATATTTTAACCATTTGTAAAGTAATAATGCTATGACATTATCAAACAGTGCATTTGATTATATAGTCAAACTGTGATTTGACAGGCTTTGATTTAATCAGGCACTTAATGTCAGTCATTACTGGAATTAGGATAAGTTGGGGCCTAAGGAATAAAGTAACTTAATGGTAGATCCTCACAGGAAGAGAAGAACAAGTGTGTGTGTGTGTTTGTGAAGATGAATGGACGTGTGTATCTCCTGTGTGTTTGTGTGTGAGTGTTTTATCTGTTATCTGCTGTCTGTCTTCCTGTCTGTCTGTGTGTGCTTCTTTATCCATTTGCCTGCCTGCCTCTCTCTCTCACACTCAGTCTGTTTGTCCATATATCTGCCTGTCTGCCTCTCTCTCTCTCCATCTGTGTGTCTATCTAGCTTACGGCCCTGATCCCGCCTGCTCTCCCAGGTTTATGAAATGCGAGCAGCTTAGCAGATGGTGCATATCGTATTCTGGTCGGCTCTGTGTTGGTTTTGTACCACAGACGAAGGCTTACGATACATGTGAGCCTTTAGTCGCTCAGACACACCGACGCAGAGGGAGCTCGGGCTGTTAGCGCACGAGAGAAAACAAAAAGACGAAGCAGAGACTGAAGTAGGGGGGAAAATTGAAAAGGATATGGATAAAAGAAGAAGTAGGTTTAAGAGGAAAGTTTGAGGGAGCAAGATAAAAAGTGAAGAAACACAGACGGAGAAACAAAATACTAGCTCAGTAGTGGTTTGTGCAACTTGTGGAAATGTTAAACTATATGCTATTACACATATTCAAATGTGTATACAAATAAAAAATAACATGTTTTTCAAAGAAGATAATGATCAGTTATTAAAGCGCCCTATTATGCTCATTTTCAGGTTTCACATTTGTATTGTGTGTCTCTATGGTGACATGTCTCCATGCTTTAATGTTCAAAAAGCTCTTTACATACTGCCTGTGCTGCAGCACGTCTATCCACCCTCTGTCTGAAACCAGAGCCCAGTCTGCTCTGATTGGTTAGCTGGCCGGCTCTGTTGTGATTGGTCAACCGCTTAGGGATGATTAGCCTATCACGTACAATGTGTTGGAGCGCTAGCCAATAGAAGCGGGAGTGTTACATAGTGATGTCATTATGTTCCAGAAGTAAGTACAATGGAGGCATATATCACACTACAGGAAAAGGAAAACCCCCAAAAAGCATAATAGGGCCTCTTTAAATATAATAGTGTTTTCTCAAAGTTGTTTTTAAACACCTGGATGTCAGTTCAATATGACTCAAATGTTAAAATCTGTTTTGGGTATTTTATAATGCTCAAAATCTCTATTGCCTTGGGGTTGTTTGTTTTTATAAACAGCATATTGATGTGAACGGAACGAGAAGTTAAAGCAGAGAAGAGAAAATGTATCTTGAGAGAGAAGAGCCAACAGATCTTTTACTCCTGAATGACACTAAATATACACTAAATGCAGCAAAAAAGCTAAGCGCAGACTCAATTCCCCTGATTGCAACTCCTATGTAAGAGCCCATCAGACTCTGTTCAGAGGTTCTGATTGGCCCAGACACAAAAGAAATTCCAAATACAGCTGTGGTAAAGGTCTGATTGGACTCACCATGATGTAGTGCCTCTGCATCTCCGTCTTCTCACTGGCCAGCTTCTCACACTCCAGTTTCAGGCTGCACAAGGACGGAGGAAGGACACACGTGGATTAAATGGTGTATTTAAATCCACTGAAGTGAAGTATAATTTCCACGGGATATTACAGAGGTCAAACCGAGTTTAATGCTGTGTAAGGATACCTACAAAATATTCTCAGGCTACCTATCACTGCTAAAAGTGACACTGAAAGATATCACCTTCATGGAAGAAAATGCCAGCAGGGTGTGTGTTTTATTCTCCTCTGCAATTCATCACACGTCCATGTGAGGTCAGTTTCACAAGTCCTTCTGTGTCTAGTTATATTCGTCATTGGTGAGTTTATATAAGAGTACTGTTAGTGAGCTCAAAAGGGTCCTGATAAAGTTTTGCATGTCATGAGTGTGATAGTGGTATGTGATAGTGTGATACATACAAAGCACTTTCAAATGTGTTTCAACTGCATATTATATGATATAAAGAAAGTGAAAAAACGATTCTTTATACCAGCCACTGCTTTGTGATGAGAGGAAACTGTAATGTGCTAACGATTGACAAAGAGGATGTGATACTATTTATGTCATGTGTGTATTATAATATAGTGTGTGTGTACCTGTGATACTGCGCCTGGAGGAACTGGAATTCCTCCTTGATACGGTCCAGGGTCTCCAGGACGGTGAATTTGAAAGACTGGCCGGGTTGTAAAGGAACCTGAGCAGGAAGAAGAAGAAGAACGACATAATTAAAAACTGAAACCCAGGTGTGTGTGTGTGTGTGTGTGTGTGTGTGTGTGTGTGTGTGTGTGTGTGTGTGTGTGTGTGTGTGTGTGTGTGTGGTGTGTGTGTGTGTGTGTGTGTGTGTGTGTGTGTGTGTCAGGGAGAAAGGCAAGAGGAGAGAGAAGCCAAGATGAATGTGAGAGGGAAGGTCACTCTCCTTCCCACACATCATAAAGTTGTGTCCTCTCCCCCCTCTGTTCCCCTCCTCTAATGACTCTGCCTCCTTCCCTCCTCTCCCTTTCTTCCTCTCCTATCCTCTTCCTCTCTTCCACATTAGCATCCTCTCCCCTCTCCCCTTTCCCCTCTGCAAGGCTGCTAATGTATTCCAGCCTACAAAGAGCTGAGAAGGGAGGAAGCGTCAAATGAATAACTTATAGGGAATCACGGCTCCGTCTCTCACCTGCTAAAAGCTAAAGAAGACCCAGCAAAACAAACACCTCCCTGGGGTTGACCTCCACACCCCCTCCTCCTCCTCCACCTCCTCTCCCATAAAGCGCTTTCTACAGCTGCTCTCCTTCAGGTTCGTGTTCATTGTGTGTCAGAAGGGGGGGGGGGGGGAGTTATTGTCCGATATAAAGCTGTATAACCGCTGTAACTGTCTGAGGTAAAGGGTCTTCAGGTTTAGCTGTAGCTCGGCAATCAGTCTGCTAGACCACTTTATAACCTGAGTGCGAGATTTTCTGCTCTTTAAAGACACGCTACCAAACCCTGACATTAAAGAAAAGAACAGAACTGACTCGATAAAACGTGATAACCATGGTTTTATTCATGTTAAAATAGGACAGTTTCCTAAGTCAGTACAAACGCTGGTGCCATCTTTTGCACACAGCTTCACAATTTGCTTCATAGCTCCTCAATATTCTTCATGAAACAATAAGCAAGGGCACTGTTTTTTGTGCCTGTAGTTGTTTATTTTTGGCAACAGGGCTTCAGTTTGTAGCCAGGAAAATCCAGAGTAAACAGAAGTGGTTATGGAGATTTCTATGTAAGAAGATTCTTCCGGTCCATAAATTGCTTTGGCTAATTTCCCCTGCACAGTGGGGAGGATGCAGACTGCCAGGTGTCTCTGCCACTTCTCCTCACCTGTCAGTGATCGGCCTCAGCAGGAGGATTGAGCTTCCTGCTAGGATCCAACCTCCCTCTGACGCTTTTAGTGCAAAGGCAGGTACTTTTCATCAACACCCCCCCACCTCTGTAAACCCTGCACACACTGTATGATAAGAGTCTCAGCTGAGGACATGGCCACGATTATGGGAGTAAGTTTCCCTCTATACAAACATTTCCAACCTAAATTACACACTGATGCAGCAAGTAAATAACCCTGAGCTTGAGTAGATGATTTTTTTCACATGGTATCGTGTTTATGCAGGTGTGCCAAAAAATGCAACACCGAGGAATCATGTAAGAATGACTAACTAGTAACTTAAGTACAAATGCACCTATCATGATCAGGTGTTTCCGTTTGTAAAACATCTTAACTCAATGGGATAAAATACTGCTATTAATATTCAGTTTGATTTAGTGTGTGTGTGTGTGTGTGTGTGTGTGTGTGTGTGTGTGTGTGTGTGTGGTGTGTGTGTGTGTGTGTGTGTGTGTGTGTGTGTGTGTGTGTGTGTGTGTTTGTGTGTGTGTGTGTGTGTGTGTGTGTGTGGTCTAGCATTACTATACTTGTGGGGACCTACATTTGTTTACATAGTAATTTTAGGGTGAAGACTTGGTTAGGTTTAGGATTAGGGTAAGGGTTAGGCATGTGTTGGTTATGGTTAAGGTTAGGATAAGTCTCCAGGAAATGCATGTAAGTCAATGTAATGTCCCCTGAAGTGATGTATACATGGTATGTGTGTGTGTGTGTGTGTGTGTGTGTGTGTGTGTGTGTGTGTGTGTGTGTGTGTGTGTGTGTGTGTGTGTGTGTGTGTGTGTGTGTGTGTGTGTGTGTGTGTGTGTGTGTGTGTGTGTATGTGTGTGTGCGATTTAGTTTATCCCGTATCCTCGACACTTTTATTTTGAAATGTGTTTCCTTTGACCAGTATTGGGCACCCCTAAACAGCAAAGACACTAAACACAGCTTATTCGCATAGGCTGGGATTTGTCGAAAATAGAAATGCTGGTTGGGATGTATGTATGTACCTAACTTTAAACTTAACAACACCTGTGATAAAACCATCAAACATTCATCCAGCATGCAAGTAACCCGAGCTCTATATCCATCGCTCCACCCATACGTCGGCACGGTGCAGCTGGGTGGCTATCGGCCTGCAGCTATACGGCTAAGAGATTGGTGGTTTCAGTGGCGGAGCTTCATTAGTCTAGACAAGCACAATTCAATTAGATTTCAATTAGTCCGGCGGTGGAGGTCAGGGACGTGGTGGGTTCCCCAGTAATTAATCCAGGAGGCCGAGCTGAGCCGAGCTAAACTGAGCCGAAGTAGGAGGAGCGGGACATCTAGATGGGCAAAACACACACAAACCATCTGGGTGTGTGTGTGTGTGTGTGTGTGTGTGTGTGTGTGTGTGTGTGTGTGTGTGTGTGTGTGTGTGTGTGTGTGTGTGTGTGTGTGTGTGTGTGTGTGTGTGTGTGTGTGTGTGTGTGTGCGTGTGTGTGTGTGTGTGTGGGCGGCAGAGAGAGAGGGGGGTTTGCCAACAGATCCCCACTGACCTTGATTCGCACCACACACACTAAGTGGGCGAGGGGAGGGGGAGGGTAGATAGTGATCTGGCACACGCAGATACACACACACGCCCACACAGCCATTGACAAACACACTCTGTGCAGATTTAGAGCTACACAGGGAAACAAACACACCTAACGTGGGATGGAGGGATGGATTGATGAGGAGGAGGGGGGGATAGATACTCATCCGACAGAAATTCATTTTAAAGTTAGGTACATACATCCTAACCATCATTTATATTGTTGACAAATTTGATCCCAGCCCTTGTGTAAGCTGCATTTTGTGTCTTTGCAGTTTAGTGGCGCTAAATACTAGTCAAGAGAAATTCAATTTTGTGGACCTCAATTGTTGAAGAAGTACTCAGATCCTTTATTAAAGTAAAAGTAGCAATACTGAATTGTAAAATACTCTGTTACAAGTAGAAATCCTGCATTTAAAAGTACAAAAGTATTGGCATCAGAATAAACTCAAAGTATTAAAAGTAGGGCTGTCAAACGATTAAACATTTTAATCAGATTAATCACAGCTTAAAAATGTATTAATCATGATTAATCACCATTTGAACTATGTCCAAAATATGCCATTTATTTATGTATATTGTTGTGGGAATGGAAAGATAAATGAAAGAAGGCGGATATATCCATTTAACATACAACATAGCCTACTATGTTTATTATAACATTTTTCTGCGTGTCAAAATGAAAGACAACCCACACACCTATCAATCATCAAACCGTGGGGTCTTAATTCATTACGTGTTTTTTTCTATCAACGGGGGAGTACTTCAGGAAAGTCGACAGAGGGGGGGGGCGGTGGCTAGTGGAGTACTTCGTGACCACAGAGTGTGAACGATCAGCTGTTATAGCGCAGTTTTCCAGTGAAGGGGGGGGGAGTCTCCCTCCGCAGCCGGTTGGCGTAGTTTTTGGCACAATTCCGTTGTACAGACCGACGTTAACAGCAGCCCTGTCTGTGCACACGGAGATCGACTCTGTCGTCCGGTGATCTAACCGCCTTCTGGAAAAGCTTCACAAGTACATCGGTACGCAAATGCGCTTTGTGACACAAGTGACGGTACGCATTTCAGATTACGCACATAACCTGCGTACCAGTTATGTGCACCCCTGTACTACAGCAAAAGTATTCTCCGTCGGGACTTCCTGCAACAACACCACGCCGTTATCAAAGATTTTCCTTTGAGAAGACGATCACTACGTGACAAAAGTTTTCAAAACCGTGGCTACTGAAATCAATCTTACTAACTGCTGTCTGTGCAATTTACTCCGCGCGAGTTGGCAGACTTTATTTTTGCTTACTTTAACATAATTTGTCATGGTGGGGCTAAGCCATTTCTTGGTATGGGTGTAGCCCATGGTGTAGCCTACCCCAGCCATACCCTGGCGCTGCCACTGGTGGCACGTATGGGGCGGGCCATTCTGCACATGCGTTAAATGCGTTAAATATTTTAACGCAATTAATTCAAAAAATTAATTACCGCCGTTAACGCGATAATTTTGACAGCACTCATTAAAAGTCGTACATTATTTCCCTTTAAATGTAGTCGAGTAGAAGTATAAAGCATAACATGGAAATACTCAAGTAAAGAACAAGTACCTCAAAATTGTACTTAAGTACTTGAGTAAATGTTCTTAGTGACCTCCCAATTCTTTCAGATGCATATCAAAATATGACTATAGGTTGAGATATCCAGCAATAGTATACAAAGTCATTACAGATTAGCTCCACCTTTATTAGCTGTCATCAATAATAATAATAATCCCTTAATGAATATCTATATATATGATTCTGAAATGTGCCATAATGCATAAGTGCTTTTACTTTGGGTGCTCTGAGTATATTCTGTTGCCGATCCTTTTTCTACTTTTAAAAGCAGGATTTTTACACCTTTACTGCTGAGGGATGAAAGGAGTAATAGACAAGTCTGACGTCTTTACAGAGGAGGGGAAGAACGAGCAGGGAGACGTATGATGGAAGAGCTGCTGACTGAGAGAGATAGACGGCCATTCATCCGTCTGACACACAGGGGATGGGAGGAAGAGCCTGAACACAGCGCTGTCTCTCCATCCTGTCCATCCGTCAGTGGTAAAACTGCCGCCACCATCTGCTGCCACGAACCACAGACACAAACTCATGCGGATGCACACGGATAAAGTGCTGCTGGCGGGTTACATCAGCAGCAATAAGTCATATAACAAAGCCCGTAGTCACAGATCAGATCAGGATTATACAAGAGCCGCGGCCGTTGG